ACCCCCCCCCCCCCCCCCCCAGGTCTGGGGTCCTGGCCGCAGGCCCTGATCAGCCCTCTGCTGGCCTAGGTGAACAGAACCCCAGGCTGGCAGCGAGCTGAGCAGGCTGGTGGCATAAGATCAGCATTTTAATTTAATTTTAAATGACACTTCTTAAACATTTTGAAAACCCTTGTTTACTTTACATACAATAGTTTAGTTATATAATATAGACTTATAGAAAGAGACCTTCTAAAAACGTTAATGTATTACCGGCACGTGAAACCTTAAAGTGAATAAATGAAGACTCGGCACACCACTTCTGAAAGGTTGCTGACCCCTGAGCTAGATCGTTCCCGATAGCTGTTTGTCCAACCTGTTCTTAAAAACCTCCAATGATAGGGATTCCACAACCTCCCTTGGAACCTATTCCAGACCAGATCTATCCTTACAGTTAGCGGAGATTAAGCCCACTGCTTCTTATCCTACCTTCAGCAGACAGAGAACAATTGATCACAGTCCTCTTTATAAGTCCTTAACATATCTGATGACTTATTGGGTCCCCCTTCAATCTTTTCTCAAGATTAAACATGCCTTGTTTTTTTTAGCCATTCCTCATAAATCAGGCTTTCTAAACCATTTATCATTTTTGTTGCTCTCCTGTGGACACTCTCCAATTTGTCCACATCTTTCTTAACGTATGGCACATGGGACTCATATCACAGGCCTCACTAGTGATGAGTAGAGCGGGACAATTACCTCACATCTCACATATAAAAACAACAAGGAGTCCTTGTGGCACCTTAGAGACTAACACATTTATTTGGGAATTGGCTAGAACCCACTTCATCAGATGCATGGAGTGGAAAATACAGTAGCAGGTATATTTATACATGAAAAGATGGGAGTTGCCTTACCAGGTTGCAGGGGGGGGAGAGGGGGAGTCAGTTTAATAAGACAATTTAATTATCAGTAGAATACCAAGAGAGGAAAAATAACTTTTGTAGTGGTAATGAGGGTGGCCCATTTCAAACAGTTGACAAGCAGGTGTGAGTAAATTAGTATGGTAAAATTAGGTTTTGTAATGACTCATCCACTCCCAGTCTTTATGCAGGCCTAATTTGATGGTGTCCAGTTTGCAAATTAATTCCAGTTCTTCAGTTTCACATTGGAGTCTGTTTCTGAAGTTTTCCTCCCTTGGTATTCTACTGATAATTGTCCCATTAGACTGACCCCTCACCTGGTAAGGCAACTCCCATCTTTTCATGTACTATGTATAAACATATCTGCTACTGTATTTTCTACTCCATGCATCTGATGAAGTGGGTTCTAGCCCATGAAAGCTTATGTCTAAATAAAGTTGTTAGTCTCTAAGGTGCCACAAGGACTCCTTGTTTTTGCTGATACAGATTAACATGGCTACCACTCTGAAACATATCTCACATATGACACTCTTGTTAATACACCACAGCATATTATCCTTCTTCACAACTGAATCATAACCCCCCAGATGCTTTTTAGCAGTACTACCACCTTAACAATTATTCCTCATTTTGTAGTTGTGCATTTGATTTTTTTTCTCTCTAAAGAAAATACACTATAGTCCCCATTCTCTGAATACCACCGGGGACACTCTGAATACCACTGGGGACATGGATTTTTTTCAGATAAGTGGGAGTTTGGATCATTGTGAGGGCAGGAGCCATTCAGCAACAGAATAGCCTCCCCCACACCTAGGGTGACCAGATAGCAAGTGTGAGGGGGTAATAGGAGCCTATATAAGAAAAAGCCCCAAATAGCGGGACTGTCCCTATAAAATCGGGACATCTGGTCACCCTACCCACGGCCAGGGGCTCATCCTTCGCCTGGCAGTCCTGGCCTGGGGGTTCAGCTCGGCCCTGCTCATTCACTCCCGGGATTTCAGAGCTGCAGAGGGTTCCCTCCTCTGCCGCAGCACCCGTGACACCCAATCCCTGAAAGCACAGGGTGGGAGCTGTAGTTTGCAGTCCTGGCAGATCACAGCAGAGACACACACACTGCAGCCTTCCCTGTACCTTGTGCCTGCAGGGGTCAGGTGCCAACAGCCCCCAGCAAAAAAGGGTGATCTCTGTAACTCCACGATCACAGCCCCGCTCACTCCTGTTTGGAATGGCTGGGCTACAACGACTTCCCTACACTGCCCCAAGAGCCATTCAGCAGCAGGGTAGCCTGCCCCAGGGCCGGGGGTTTGTCCTCCCCACTGTCCTGGCCATAGTTCTCTGTGCCACGTGCTGTGGAGAGAAGGGGTTTGGGTTACTGCAGTTCAGCTCTCCGGGTTTTGGCTACGGTGATCACGCTGCACTGGATTTCAGCTTGGTGATTTCTGAGCAATTCTCCAACCTGTCCAGGTGGATGAATTCTAACCCTGCCCTCCCAAGTGCTACGCCCCCTCCCAGCTGTAAACCTTATCAGCGCACCCTGCCCACCTATATCCCAGGCCTGACTGAAAACACTGACCAGGAGCGGCCCGAAGTGCCCCCAGCCTGACTGGGAACCACTGACCTCTGCCCGTCCAGCGGGACCTTCCAAGGCGCGGCCGAGTCGGAGCAGAGGCTGAACCTTGCTGAGGCCCAGCGCTGGCAGAGAAAGGGGGCGCTGCCTAGAGGAGGCCGGGGCTAGGGTCACGTCCCGGGGGTAGGAGGAGCGCGGCTGCTGGGGTTACCTGTCTGCCGCAGCTCGGTTAACGGCCCCCGTGCTGCGAGCGCCGCGCCCCTCCCCGCCCGCCAGGGCAGGAGTCAGGCCGTTCCGCGCACGCGGCGCGGGGGGCTCAGGGTTTCGCCCAACGGTCACTCGGGACGGGGGCGGGGCTGGCTCCTTTCCGCTCTCCCTGTTCCTAGGACCCCAGCGCCGGCCCTGGCCTATGCCAGCCGCGCGGCCGCCTCCGCCGTTTGCAGGCGGCTTCTTTGGGCGCCAAGGCCCCCAGCGGGCCTCTTCGGCCCGGGACCGGCCCCGCCCCGTCTCCGCTGCAGCGGGAGGAGCCCCGGGAGCGCGCTCCGCCGAGCGCGCAGCCCGGTGTCTCGGTGGCGGCCATGGCGGCGGCCTCGCAGCGGGACCCCGGGGACTGGCAGGATTTCTCCGGCTTCCAGCCCCCCGCAGGGAGCAGCCCCGAGCCGGCCCGGGACGGGGGCACTTGGGGGCCCGGAGCCCTGGGGGACAAGCTGCTCCTCTGCTTCAAGCCCCCCCCGCCTCGGGACGGCGGCAGCGAGAGCCGGGTCCCGCTGCGGCCCCTCAGCGAGCAGAGCGCCCTACAGGAAGACGAGTGAGCGGGGGCGGGGCGCCGGGAGGGGGTGAACGGCACCCGCGGGGCCCCCGTAGGGGCCTGCAGCACGTAGTTGGGAGAGGGCGGCGCGTGAAGGGTCCGTTGGGGTGGGAAGGCCTGGAGGGGGTGTCCCCGTTCGGTGGGGTGGGGGCGCTACTAGGCTGATAGGGCTGTGGCCTGTGCGTGCTGGGCCTCGCCACACTGTAGTCAGCAAACAGCCGCTGTGGGGGCCCAGCGCAACTTGGCTCTGAACTCAAGTTCACACCCGAGGCGGCCCTGTGGGCGCTGCTAACCAGAGCTGCTGCCAATAGTTGTCTTCATCTTTCCTATGGCCACTTAGAAAGCAACGTTAAAGGTCAACATCCAAGTTTGTCAGCGTCTCTGTGCTTTCTCCCTGGGGTTATAAACCCCGTGTGCGCTACTGTTGTAACCCAGGTGGGTCAGCCAAGGTGAGCGAATGCCACACCTTTTCCGCAGGGTAGGCAGACTGTCAGTGAGCACCAGCAGGGCTTTCCTCCTAAGGTGCCCCCATTGAGCTAAAATGGTTTAACAATGCCCCTTTTGCCCATCAAGACAGTTTCATGATAGTCTGTGAGAAAAAAGAACTAGATAAATTCATGGAGGGTAGGGCCATCAATGGCTATTAGCGAGCATGGGCAGGGATGGTGTCCCTAGCCTCTGTTGCTATTAGCTGGGAATGGGTGACAAGGGAAGGGTCACTTGATGATTACCTGTTCTGTTCATTCCCTCTGGGACACCTGGCACTGGCCACAGTTGGAAGACAGGATACTGGGCTAGACGGACCTTTGGTCTGACCCATTATGGCCGTTCTTATGACATCTATTGAACATTACCACAAATCCTGTGGAGAGTTTTCTTTTGATTTAATGGGGATACAGCAGCCTGTTCCTCTCTCATGGGATGAAGTTGAAGATCAGAGGGATCTGAAACACTACAATAAAAATCTCATAATGAGAATACACGATAACCAGTTTTAAATTTTTAAACTTTTTTAGTTGTATATGGAGGGATTTTAATTAGCGAAGTGACAGTTCTTCACCTAGGTCTAGCCACACATAAAATTTGAAGTTAAGCTTTTTTTTTAGTCATTTTTAGGTCTCACTATATTTTTTTTTTTAGATGGGGGGGGGGGATATTTTTTTTCTTTAACTCAAATGACTAAATAAACTTATCTGAAAAAACCCAGATCTTCATCTTTGGCCTGAAACGAAGCGTGGATAGTTCTAGACACAAAGCAGAATTTTAGAAAAAGTTGAGTATTGCAAATGGATTTGTAACAAAGTTAAGTTTTAACCTTTCTTTCTTAATCTTTCACTTCCATAAATATTAGAGACTTTCCTGACTAGTGCATTTTTATTTTTACTTGTACATTCCTTCATAGTTGTGCAGTCTTCACTGAAATTAAGTGAAGTTTTGGCTTGGGAGTTGCTGCTCAACTTGCTAATTCCTAGTTTTGAGATGCACAAGGCAAGGGAAATTAGAACAACATAGAAAAGAAGTAGGAAAGGGTATAGAGCATTGTCTGGCTAACATTTCAACAAAGGGAAATTTACCCCCCAAATTTTGTTACATGACCCATCAGGAAGCATGGCTCTTTTTCAGTTTTCTTTTTATTTCTCTGCCGTGCAAGCATCAGCAAATGAGTCCCCTTTTTGCATTTCAGGCGATACATAAATAAAACCAAACTTTTGCAGCGTTTATTTCTTTGACTGTAAAAACTTTAAAAATATTTTAAATTGAATACCTGAGAGAATTCCCAATTGATACAGGTATTAAAAAAAGATATTCTGTGTTTTATTTTTTGTTTTTGTTTTGTAGAAGATCAGTTGCTATTCATTTCAATATCAGTTTGTTTCTTTAATCCTTTTGTCCAGGATTTGGAATGCTTTGACTGATAATTATGGTAATGTAATGCCAGTTGATTGGAAGTCCTCCCACACCAGAGCTTTGCATATGCCAACACTGAATCTCTCAGAAAAAGGGGTAAGTTCTGTAGCCAAAAACCTTTTGACGCCTTTTTGTCTTGGTACAGAAACAACATAGGATGTAATTTTTATTAAAATAGTTATTCGTGATCACTTTAAAATATTTTTCTTTTTAATGTGTTTGTATTGGCATTAGCAGCAAGGGTTGTCTTTTAACATTGACAGATCTGATGCATACATTTCTGCTCCTCGCTTTCAATAAAGTGTTAAGATGTGGGTTCCTTCTAAACTGACTGACAGGTCAACAAACGGACCAATTTGCATAACAGAGGGGCAAGGGAAAGACAGTAATAAACTGTGGAAGTCTTCTTGTTCACTTACTGTCTTGCCTCTTGTGTATTGAATGGTATCCGAAAATGTTGGGGGGTATTCCTGTGTCTTGGTAAATTCATTATGGACTTTTTCCAACGAAGGCCATATCCTGCAATCAGATAGATACAGGCAAATCCCTGCATCTGTGTGGATCCAGTTGCAGGATCGGAGCCCAAATATACTTCCTTGCTCTACAAATACGTGAGACTGAAATACAGCAACACTTGCCCCTTCCTACTAATGGAGAAAATAGGCACCACTAGCATTGCTTAGCCAAGAAGTGTCATTTTAATAATATAATGTACTGAAGCATATTGTGAATGTTTGGATGTTCTTTTGCAGCCTAATAACTGGGTGCTTGAAAAAATAGGATTGATACCCCAATTTTCCAATGACACTTGGTGAGGTATTTGGGAAGATTGCCTGTAAATTTGCATCCAACCACAAGCATGATGAAATTTGCACTGAGCACCAGAAAGACTTTAATGAAAACATAGCACATGTTTTCCACAACAGGATACTCAATAGGCACTAAATTTGAAGATAGTTTGGGAGGGATTTGACAGAATGCAGGTAGTTGATAGTCTCAGTGAAAATCTTGATCTAGTTAACAAAACTGGAATTGCATAATAGAAAATCAAAAACTGATTCAAGTGAGGCAATGGATTTTTCTTATTGTGTAGCCAGTATGATTGGTCCCAAATATAAAGGTCATATAGTGAACCCAGGGTATGAAAAAGCAAGTAAATGAGACAGGGCAGCTAAAGTCAGAATTTTGACAATTTTTAAGAGACCTTCATTCCCATCTAGCCAATTCAGCATTAGTCAAGTGTATTCAGCACATTCAGATTGGTTTGTTTGGGTGAAATGTTGTAATAGATAAGGTGGTGAAAATGCAAATAATATGGTAAAAGTATATTCGTATATAACGGCATAATGGTAGGCCTAGTGTTATTAGTCTGGGGACTTGATTTTTGTGTCCCCCTGTTTAATTGTGGAACTGCAAGCTCTTATGAGAATGTGTGCCTTTTTGTTTGAGGAACAAATGCTTGTGAAATGAATCCCACAGTATGTGTGGGGTTTTCTCATTTAATAAAACATAGAGGTTTTTTCCAGAAAATAAAAAGCATTGTTTTATGGTTGGAAAATCACAACCTTGAATTGTCTGCCCACCCTGGCTTCTAATTGTAACTTTATTACATGTGACTTAATGTATATTGTATATAAAGTAAGTAATGACATGCACTGCTGATTCTTGCATATGTCAAAAATTCTGATGACTTTCTCAGATGTAAATAGCAGTAATCTTACAAAGAATTCTATAAAGTTACAGAAAGTCTGATTAAATATAAATCTCTTGTGTATCCTTTCACTGATGCATCTATTTTGGTATCTTGCTTCTATTTGAAGGAGTACAGGGTGAACTACATGAGTCTGATGGACTGTTTGGCTAGTCTACAAATGTTTGGATGGCATTGAGTCAGTGGTGTGTGTTTAAAGTAGTCTTCCCCCCCCCCCCCCCCCTTTGGGAAAGTAAAGAATATGTTAATATTCTTTGCAAAACAAAAAGATGATAAAATTAATAAAATACGCTTCAGCTACAGTTTCATTTTCACGTTTGTTGAGATATTTGGTTTTATGGTATAAGAATTATTTATATCTTTTAGATTCTTGAATATGAGCAAGAATCTGTTTTGATGTCAACAATAATGGAACCAGACTTTCTTCTTATAACTTTTTGCCCTTTCACTTTTTCTGTGTGCGCTTTCAGTTAAATGAACATTTGAACCTTGACCTATCAGATGATGAAGAGCTTCGAGAACAGCTGGATATGCACTCTATTATAGTTTCCTGCATCAGTGATGAACCTCTGTTCACAGCAGAGCAGGTAAAGAAAAATATTCAACAAAAAGGCACTGTTACGGCTTAATATTGCATCTTAGTTCTATGCCTTTTGTTCTTCCTAGTTAGTGGATGCTAAAGAGATTTGGAGACGAACTGATCCCTTTTGTTTATAGTTACAGCAGCAATGTCTATACCATGATCTAGGGGGGTAATTCTCCTGCTTATGTAGACATATTTGTGCTAGCTCTCAGCTAGCTAGCACAAGTATAAATAGCTGTATAGCTGCGGTAACACAGGTAGCGGTAGTGGAGACACAGCTGAGCCGTGCCACGTACATACCCACCAGTTTCAGATAGCTTTGTACTCGGTGCAGCTCAGCCATATCTCCACCTGTGCTATTCTAGCTATGCTGCTATTTATACGCTCACTAGCTTGATGAGAGCTAGCACAAGTATCTGTACATAAGCAGGGGAATCACACCCCTCACTTGCAGTGTAGATATAGCCAAAGGGATGCATTGGGTACTTTTCCATCTTTCAAATTGCCCTCTGCTTCAGCTTTGGGGTTCCCATATGGGTCTTTGAAATTCTCATACTTCAGTTTCCTGACATGAGCCAGCAGGAATCTGAAGGAAGAAGATGTAGACAAAACTGCTCCTAAATTAAGAGCCAAAAGCCGGCCATGGGATCGTCATAAGCTTACTGTAAAATTATGACTTTTGAAAACTGATGGATAACTAGGAAAATCTTGAAAAATTGGAGGTAAATGAATATGCAGGACCAGTTGTCATGTGGGAGAGAGCAATTCTGTCAATTATTGTCTTGATACATCTAACTTCTATCTATACTAAAGTAATCAAATAAGAGAAGGGAAACTGGTGAAGGTTAATAACAAGTAATAAGAAGCATGGATTTATAAAGAACAAAGGTTGGCAGAAAAACTTGATTGCTCTTTAAAATAAAACTACAAATTAGGTAAATGACAGGAATGGAGTTGATGTGGTACATTTAGATTTTAGTGGAGGGTTTGATATTTTCTGATAATCTAAAAAAAAAATTCCAAACTGACTTGCTAAAAACACTGCCAATGGGAGTAAAAACTGGATAAAAGTTAATGATAAACTAGTGGTATTGAGTTTGGGGAGATGTTGAGCAGGGCAATGCAATGCCTGGTTTTAATATTTTCATCAATGATCTGGAATCATAAATAAAACAGCACATTAAATTCACCTGTGTTAGTAAACTGCAGAGGATTATCAGCAATCAGTACAGAGAAATATTTCTGTGAAAGGAACCAAAAGAGAGAAGAAACATGGGCCACAAAAACCCCTGATATACAATTTGGAAAAAGTAAATTATTGCAGCTGGGGGAAATAGCATAAAATGCAGATTCTCAATATGGTGGAGGGAAATGCAAGACCAGAAGGAACCATTGTGAGCATCTGGTCTGAGCTCCTGTATAACACAGGCCATAGAACTTCCCCAAAATAATTCCTAGAGCATAACTTTTTGAAGAACATCCAATCTTGATTAAAATTCTCAGTGATCTACCATGACGCTTGGTAAATTGTTCCAATAGTTAATTTCCACTCACTGTCAAAAATATATTCCTAAATCCCAGTCTGAATTGATCTAGCTTCAACTTCCAGCCATTGGATTGTTATACCTTTCGCTGCTAGATTATCAAATATTTGTTGCCTATGTAGATACTTATCAACTGTCATCGTCACCCTTTAACCTTCTCTTTGTGAAGATAAATAGATTGAGCTATTTGAGTCTGTAGCTATAAGGCATGTTTTCTTATGCTTTAATCACTCTCATGACTCTTCTCTGAACCCTTTTTTTTTTTTTTTTTTATAGCTGTCTTCAATTTCCCTTTAAACCAGGTTGGGTTTTTTTAATCAGCCTGGCCTTCTTCCTCGATTGTGGCTTTTGGGGCATCTAGTAAGGTGTTCTTAAATTATTCCCAATTACAGTAACTCCTCACTTAACGTTGTAGTTATGTTCCTGAAAAATGCGACTTTAAGTGAAACCATGTTAAGCGAATCTAATTTCCCCATAAGAATTAATGTAAATGAGGGGGTTAGGTTCCAGGGAAAAAAAATTTTGCCATACAAAAGGCATTATATACATTTTAAACAAGCAATTTAATACTACGCTTAGGGGGGGTGGGGGGAGTAGTGTGCACATGCTGTGTGTTTACAAACATACTGTACATACAGTACAGTGCTATAGTTGGGAGGTGCCCCTGCCTTACCCTACACAGGCACAGCCCACTGGCATTGGAGATGAGGCAGGCAAGGAATCTGAAGGTACTATAGGCTAGGAGAAGCACATTGTGCAGCAGCGGCAGCTTCCCCTACTCTGCAAGCACCAGGGGCGGGGGAAGGGCTCCCCCTTTACTTCCCACGCTGGGTCCTCTCTCCTCCCCCCTCCCTTCCAAACGCTGCAAGCCAACTGATTGCGGGGGGGGGGGAAAGGGGGAAGGTGCTGATCTGCAGGGTCTGCCGGCAGGCGGGAAGCACTGTGGAGGGGGTGGGGGGGCATAGAGAGGCTGCCAGCTGTGGAGAAAGCAGGCAGCCAAACAATGTGAGAGTGGAGCATTGCACAACTTTAAATGAGCATGTTCCCTAATTGATCAGCAACGTAACAACGTTAACCGGGATGACTTAAAGTGAGGAGTTACTGTACCATTCACATTTCTTTGGTTAAATTCTTCCTCCCAGCTGATTTGGCTCATATTGAAAATGGCCTTATAAAGGCACCGTGTGTGTGTGTGTGTGTGTGTGTATGTATGTATGTATGTATACTGTTCTAGACTTTATTCTGCTTGCACATTGTAAAGGTGATCAAATCATGATCACTTCTTCCTAACCTACCATTAAATTTTAGTTCTGTGATCATTTCTACTTTATCTGTTAGGACCAAGTCTAATAAAGAATTCACCTATGTTGGGTGTAAGATTTTTTTTTTTTTGGTTAGAAAATTGTCATCTATAAAGTTTAGAAATTCCAAGGATGTTTTAGTACTGGTAGCTTGAGACCTTCAGTATATGTCACTGAAATTGAAGTCTTCCATGATCACAGAGGTTTATTTTCCCTGACCCATTATAGATGTGTGCAAAAGCAGGCAGTGATCTTGTTCCTATTGTGATCTGGTGGACTGTAGTAGACACCAACTAATGCTTTGTCTGTTAGGACATTGATCCATAAGCATTCAGATCATTTTCTTCCAAGTTATCAATTACTTGGAAACAAGTAATGCCTTTTTTGACACAGATTGCCACTCCCCTACCCCTCTTGCCCACTCAGTCCTTCTTAAATAGGTTATAACCATTGATTTTTAACATTCCAATCGGGTGAATCAACCCACCAGGTTTCAGTAATACAACTAGATCTTATTTATGCCTGTAAGTCAGCAATTCCAATTCCTCTTGTTTGTTACCCAGGCTCCTATCATTGATGTATAAGCAAATAAAGAATTTCTTCTCTTCATGAGACACATCTGGAAATTAGTAACACTGAAAGACACCTAAATAAATTAAACATAAATGTGCAATATACAATATAAATGTGATGTGGTGGTTTAAAAAAAAAAAAAAATTGGTTTACAGAACCAGGAGGTTGTAGTTCCTTTTTTGGACAAGCCTGGTGTTACCACAACTGAAATTTTGCATTCTGTTTGGGGTGCCTAATTAACAGGAATATATTGACAAACTGGGATGGCCAGAGAGAGCAATAAAATGATTAAAGGGCTGTAGAAGGTACGCTTATCTGGAAAGAATAAAGTAACTAAAATATACTGTAGTTTTGCTATGGATGACTAAGGGGAGAATACCTATCTACAAATATTTGAAGGATGTACATATCAAGGACTGAGGAAAAAATATTTATCATGGTATAAAGTGGTTTAACTTGGAGGAATGGGATAAAATTAAGAAAATAAAACAGACTGAATATCAAAAAGATATACAAACAAATCGTCAGTGGTCTTGAAGCAGAGAGACCGAGGACTTTATATAAAGACTTATGTATGCATGTCTGCAAACTTTATTTCTTAGCCATTATGAGACAATATGTTTAGATTAATTAATAAACTTGCTATGAAAAGACTAATTTGTGCAAATAGTCCTATTTTCTATTTTTTAAAGAAATTTCCCTTTATATTGATATGCCTGATTCCCAGTCTCAACATTGGCTTTGCCTTGTTAGTAGTACCTAATATGCATTTATTGGAAGAAAAATTATCTAGACATTGAAAATTTAAAATGTAAAAAAGTTGATGAGCTGTTAGTAGAACATATGCAAATTATAAGTTGTTGCTCGTTACCAGTGATTCTCTCCCTAAGAGTATGTGTATGCATCTTTATTAAAGGTGATTGAAGAAATAGAGGAAATGATGCAGGAATCACCTGACCCAGAAGACGAAGAAACACCCACCCAGTCAGACCGGCTCTCCATGCTTTCCCAGGAAATTCAAACACTCAAGAGGTCCAGTACAAACAACAGTTATGAAGAGAGTAAGGGATACTCATTTAATATCTTGACTATATTTTTAACGTATTGAAAATAACTAATGGTTCAAACTGCCTTATACTTGATCTATAATCATTTCCATCTGTGAAATCATCTGCCTTTGAAAATGCAGTCAGAAAATCTTGAAAGGCAAAGTAAAGTATAATATATATCTATATAGATAGATAGATATCTATATAGCTGAGGGCTGGTCCACACTAAGGGCTGGTCTACACCCAGCCGCTAGTTCGGCGGCTGGGGATCGAAGTTCTGGGTTCGACTTATCGCGGCTGGTCTGGATGCGATAAGTCGAACCAGGAAGTGCTCGCCGTCGACTGCGGTACTCCAGCTCGGCGAGAGGAGTACCGCGGAGTCGTCGGGGAGCCTGCCTGCCGCGTGTGGACCGCGTCTGAACCGCGGTAAGTTCGAACTAAGGTATGTCGACTTCAGCTACGTTATTCACGTAGCTGAAGTTGCGTACCTTAGTTCGACTGGGGGGTTAGTGCAGACCAGGCCTAAGCCCCCAGTTCGAACTAAGATACGCAACTTCAGCTACATGAATAACATAGCTGAAGTCGAAGTATCTTAGTTCGAACTTAAAGGTACTTACCGCGGGTCCACACGCGGCAGGCTCCCCCGTCGACTCCGCCTACTCCTCTCGCGGAGCAGGATTACCGACGGTGAGCACTTCCGGGATCGATTATCGCGTCTAGACAAGACACGATAAATCGATCCCAGAAGATCGATTGCTTGCTGCCGAACCAGCGGGTAAGTATAGACGTACCCTGAGAAACATAATTGATTTCAATAAATAAACATTATAAACTGCTATGAATGTGTTTGCCTATAATTGAATATTAAACCATACCTTTACAGTATTTAAAACAAAAGCAGCTGTATTAAAGTTTGACATGCTGGATTTGACTCCTTTTACAGGGTATGTATTCTTTGTTAAACTATTAACATATTAAAAGTTAGGTAGGATGATAGGTGTCTTACAGATAGATGCACATTAAGGCTAAGGCTAGTGTGTACTGTATTCTTCATTTAGAGAAATGATCTAAGGTTAGTAGAAGTTGAAAGCTTTGTAGAAGATGAAGAAAAAGTTCTTCCATGATGTTGTTTCAGTTACTATGGTTTCTCTGTTTTGGTATAAACAAGAGAAGAATCAGATGAACAGTTATTTTCTGTGCTGCTGCAACATGGGCTTCTGCAACTGCATAATGCAGTTTCTGTTGAGGGTGGTTGTGAGAGTTTCACCTTAACTTTCAAAGACTTCTTTTAAAGAAGATTTTGTGCATTTTTGGTTCTTCAAGTAGATGCTGGCATGTATTTAACTTAGGTGTGTGCACCCAGTGCTGGAGTTTTTTGCCTAGCAGTACCCATAGAGGGGTGGTGCTTGTGGCGGTGGCCTCTCTTCTGGCTATATGAGGCAGCGCCACTCTGACCCTCTCCCTCAGTTCCTTCTGATCGCCCATGGCTGGAGTCAGAGTTATGTGTGGTTGTAGTCTCACAGTCTTGCCTTTAGTTTTAGCTTGGTTTATTGTATATAGTTAGTTAATTAGTGTGTGTTAGTAGTCAGTAGATAGTGTTAGTTGGTAGTGTTCCACAGTGATGTCCTCACCAGGGTTTAAACATTGTCCTTTGTATGGAGGGGCTATCCCCAACAGTGACCCCCACATGCAGTACTTACTTTGTTTAGGCGAGGCCCACCTTAAAGAGCATTGTTTGATCTGTAGATAGTTCAAAAAGCAGACTCAGGTGGTGCGAGACCTTCACGTCAAACAGCAGCTGCTTGAACAGTCCATGTGACCTGATCCAGTACCAAGGCCCTCTTTGGGCCAAAGATTGCCCTCTGGCTCGGAGAGCATCACTGCCTCTTGTTCTGAGGTAGGTGCCTCTCCGAAGAGGCGGAGGAGCTGTTCTCAGTCATTGGCACTGATGAAGAGGTCTCATAAGACCAATCGGAACCACTCCAGGTCGCAGGGCAACTCCTCTGCCTTCTACAGGAAAAGCAGGGACTGGCACACGACTGGTTCTGGCACACGGGATGGTGTGGGTACCTCTGACTGTTCCCTGGTATTCAGTAGAAAGGGCAGAAACCCCGTGCTGTTGACACTAGTTCTGGTCTCCAGATGTCCGTTGTCTGGCACCAATTAGGGCGATGCCAGTACTGACTGTATCTGCTGTGTCTATGTACCAGGTTGTGGCAGACCCGCTCTGCCTTTCCATTTCATCCTCCGCACTGGTACAGAACTTTCCAAAGCTTGCGCCTTCAGCAACCCCTCCAAAGGACCACCCCACTGAATTGTGATGCCCCTTGGCACTGCACCCAGACATTCTCCTTCCCACAGTGGGCATGGAACTGGTACCAGAATCAGTATGGGGACTCTCTTCAGCTCAGCAGCATTTGACACCACAGATGGTCCCATGGCAACTTTCACCACCCTCGACGTCAATGCACTCGTGCGCTTCGATACCGCTGTTTGTGTCAGGACCAACGGCTGTAGCACTGGCAAGCTCAGTGCCAATGGTACTGCCTTCATTAGGGCAATGGTTTCCGCCTTGTTCTGAGTGAGCGATGAATCTGACCACTAGTTGGTTCACTTGTGCATTGCTCCGCCCTGTTTGCTGAGATCCCAAGGCTCTTCTGATTCCAAGTCGGGCTGGTTGTCATCCTGCTCCACATCACCCAACAAGCTCTGAGGGCTGCCAATGGACCAGTATGGTTTCCAGGGTTGGCTGTGCACCATGGCTGGGACGGAGGTTCTTGTTCCAGCACTATTGTCCACCAATACCCTACCTGTATCAATGGGCTTCTTTGACTCAGTGGGACACTCCTCACTTGTGGAGATCCTGCTCGTTGTCCCGGTCAAAGCTGAAGTCACCTGTCGGATCAGCGCTGTTGACTGCAGAACAGCCATGTGCCTAGGCATTGATGGCCTTTCTCCCTGCAGAGCTACTGGAGTCCTCCCTTCCGGGCACTTTGCCCTGGAGCAAGAACCAGTTTTGGCTCAGTCGAGATACTTGTCGCCGGATGATGGTGTGCTGCCTGGCTCATCCTCTCCTATCCAAAAGGACTTTAAATTGTACCAGGACCTTTTATACCGCATAGCCACATCGCTTGGCATCCTGGTACAGTTTCTCCAAGAGAACACACACAAACTGGTAGACATTCTACAGCCTGCCATTCCTGGGAGAAATAGCCCTCCTGACTGGTAATGGGCTCCTTGAGCTGCCGAGAGCCCAGTGGAGTACACCGGCCTCGGTACTGCTGGTGGCTAAGCTACTTCATTCCGATACAAGGATTTGAAGGGTTCTATTCCCATTGGGCCAAAACTCCCTGGTTGTAATGGCAGTGAACGACAGGGCCAGGCAGGGGAGTTTCAGGTCTACCCCCAAGGACAGAGACTCTAAGCAGTTGGAATCTTTTGGGCAGAAGTATCTATACCTCATTGTCCCTACAGATGAATATTGTGAATCAGCAAGCTTTGGTGTCCAAGTATGATTGCTTCTATTGGTCAGCCATGTCCAAAGTCAAGGACCAGTTTCCCAAAGCCTTGTTTGAGGAGTTTTAGGTGTTCGTTACGGAGGGCTGTTCGGTGGCCAAAGCGTCCCTGCAGTCTGCCCTTGATGTTGGAGACACCTCGGCCACGGTGATGGTCTCTAATTATGGGGAGGGCTTCATGTTTGCAAAACTCTGGGATCGCTTTGGACATCCAGCAAGCCATAGAGGACTTGCCCTTAGGCTCAGTCTTGTTCTCAGACAAGACTGATGGTATTTAGCACTGGAATCCTTAAAGGAGTCCTTGGGAGTGTACATGCTGTCCATGCAAAGACGTCGCTATGGGGCTCGCTAGCAGCAACAGTATCCCCTGCAGCATTCCTGTGTGCAGCCTTTCGCCCCAGAAAGAAGGATGGATAGATCCCTCAAGAGGAAGCAATCAGGCACAGGCTTCAGACAATCCACACACACTCCCCCAGAGCCTGGTAAGCGCCCGTTTTGACTCCTTAGTCCAGAGCATTACTCCACCCTCTTCATCTTTCCTCCCCAGCCCCCCAATCCCTTTGGGGACAGACTGGCCCGTTTTAACAGTGCTTAGGACTCAGAGTTACCTCGGACAGCTGAGTCGTAGATGCTGTTAAATTGAGCTATGCAATCCAGTTCCTCTCCACACCCCTTTCACATACCCCTCCCCATCCTCCTTCAGGGACCCCTCTCACAAGACTTTACTCATCAAGCAGGTCAGCTCTCTGCTGACGTTGGGAGTGGTGGAGGAAGTTCTGCCGCAACACCAGGGCCATGGCTTTTACTCCGGATATTTCCTGATACCAAAATCCAAGGGCTGGATGAGACCCTCCTCAACCTTCATGGCTTCAACAAGTTAATAAAATAGAGTGACGATGTAGAACCTCATCTATCGGCTATCCTCCCTGCACTGTCTCAGAATGATGTTCTTTGCTTTGGATCTCCAGGACGTTTACTTTCATGTGGTGATTCTACCAAGCCACAGGAAGCTTCTTGATTCTGTGGTAGTAGAGCACCACTTCCAGTATACGGTTCTCCCCTTCAGCCTCTCATCTGCCACCCAAGTCTTCACCAAATGCATAGAATTGTATGACTGGAAGGGACCCCGAGAGGTCATCAAGTCCAGTGCCCTGCATCCATGGCTGACTAAGGATTATCTAGACCATCGCAGACAGGTGTTTGTCTAACCTGTTCTTAAAAATCTCCAATAAGAAAGATTCCACAGCCTCTCTAGGCAATTTATTCCAGTGCTTAACTACCTTGACAGTAAGTTTTTCCTAATGTTCAACCTAAACCACCCTTGCTGCAGTTGAAGCCCATTGCTTCTTGTCCTATCCTCAGATGTCAACAAGAACAATTTACCTCCCTCCTCCTTTTAACAACCTTTTATGTACTTGATAACTGTTATCATGTCCTCCCTCCATCTTCTCTTCTCCAAACTAAACAAACCCAACTTTTTAAATGGCTTTGGGTCAT